TAACGTGATCAACTGTGTGCTGTGTGTGTGTTGTGTGAGTGTGTGTGTGTGAGAGAGATTTTGTGTGTGTGTTTGTGCGTGAGTATGTGTGTGTTCTGTGTGTTTTTTTGTTTTGAGTGTGTGTTTTTGTGTGTGTGTTTGTGCGTGAGTATGTGTGTGTTGTGTGTGTGTTGTGTGTGTGTGTTGTGTGTGTGTGTGTGAGTGTGTGTGTGTGTGTTTGTTGTATGTGTGTGAGTTTGTGTGTGTTGTGTGTGTTATGTGAGTGTGTGTTGTGTGCGTGTGTGTTGTGTGTGTTGTGTGCGTGTGTGTTGTGTGCGTGTGTTGTGTATGTAGTGTGTTGTGTGTGAGTGTGTGTGTTATGTGAGTGTGTGTTGTGTGTGAGTCTGTGTTGTGTGTGTGAGTGTGTTGTGTGTGTGTGTGTGTTGTGTGTGTGTGTGTGTGTTGTGTGTGTGTTGTGTGTATGTGTGTGTGAGTCTGTGTTGTGTGTGTGTGTGTGAGTGTATGTTGTGTGTGTGAGTGTGTGTTGTGTGTGTGAGTGTGTGTTGTGTGTGTGTGAGTGTGTGTGTGTTGTGTATGTGTGTGTGTGTGAGTCTGTGTTGTGTGTGTGTGTGTGAGTGTGTGTTGTGTGTGTGTGCGTGTGTGTGAGTGATGGTGGTGGCCCATCCTCTTGTCCTATGCTGACTATGTGGTGAGTTTGTTTCGATTTCCAACCTCCAGTTTCTCTTTCTCTTCCCTCCCTCCGTCCCCTCCCCTTCCTTCCTTCCCTCCCTCCATCCACTCCCTCTCCATCCCCTCCTCCACTCCACCTCATCCTCCCTTGGTTCCCTTCCCTCCAAAAACGCCTCTCCTTCCTTCTTTGCTCCCGCTTCTTTTTATCCCTCTCATATCACTCCTTTCTTTACTCCCTCTATCTTTCATTCCTTTCCCCATTTCTCCCCTTCACATCCCCACCCCCCTCTCCTTTTTAGTTCCACTCCCACCTCTCTCCCTTCCTTTCCTTTCCCGTCCTCTCTTTTTTCTTGCCCTCCTACCTCTCTTCCCTTCATTATTTCTCTCCCCTCTTTTTTTTTCCTCCATCCACTACTACTACTACTACTACTACTACTACTACTACTACTATTACTACTACTGCTACTCCGACTCCTACTGCTACTACTACTACTACTCCAACTCCTACTGCTACAACTACTATTA